GAGAAAATCTGATGCCTGACCAGTTCCTGTTAACGGCCAAACAAATTCAGCAGACTTCCTTCATCAAAGTCCCAAAGCATAAGGTGTGGCAACTTTTAAAATGCAGCTCACCTTACTCAAGTATCAGGAAGAATCACACTTCTCATTTGGTCTCTGACGCTTCCTAGAGATCCCCCACCTTCCTCCCTGACACCGCTATTCCCAATCCCCAACTCTTCAGAGCACATTGCACTGGGAGGAATTAAGTAATTTCCCACCACTGACCTTGACTTGCGACCCTGCAAATCCTTACACGCAGGATAGGCTATCCTTCCTCCAGCCAGGGACAGAGGACTAACACCATCCCGATGACCTTTGAATAGGCTTTGTGTACCCTGTCAGACAAATGAGAACTAGCAAGGTACTGATGTCCCTCTTTCTACCAGATATTTCTTTTTGGCCACCCAAATGGTGCAAGCCTGTAAGAACTTTGGCCATTTAAGCAGAGCAACATGATCCAGTGAGTAGACTGGCTGTTGTACGTTACTTTACCCTCTCCCAGCAGGGACGTTCATGGCTGCCTCTTGCGGAAGGGACGTTTTCTGACACATCTCAAGCACAGCACAACAACACTGTTAATAGACCGTGGCTGTCTCATTTGTAGACTCTATTCATTTGACAGCTAAGAATTATCAGTACTGATGTTTCGCTCCCTCTCTCTCTTTTTTCCCAAGCTAGTGATTTGTCTGTGTTATGGGTAGGCTTGACAAACCATTACGCATTAGCAGCTGAGATGTTGTTTGAAATGGGAAAATTGCTAGCAAACTGCTCCATTAGCAAGCCGAGTAACAAATTCTTTTTCCCCCCAATGAAAAAGAGATAGCTGAGACCCAAATTAATATGGCTGTCTCCCCCACTCTGCTATGGGCATTACTCTTCAAGACAAATGGCTTTGTCATTCCAAAGAATGTGATCTGGCGCTAAGAAAGCTGCGTTAGGTGGTTGTTTTTTATCTTTTTGTGTTTTCCTGCATGTGTTTGAGTAGTGTAAGCACCAGCTGAGGAGATGACGAAAAGATTTGCACCCCAGTGAACCTTGAGATGGATTAGGATGGGATTTTGAATGCTTATTCTTTGCCAGAGGATCATTTGTCACCTTTAAGTGCGTCCTTTCCCCCTTGCTTTTTCTAACTGTTTTGTTTACTATCTGCTCTTAGTGCCACAAAGTCATTTAAAAATCAAAAAGATCTCCCATGTCATATTATTAGAAGAAAAATATATTTGAATCCATCAGGCCTTCTGCATTTTCCAGGCTCTGATACTTTATTAGAGGGGAATAAAGGAAATTGCTCTTGTCCTTTGACATCCACTGTCATTGAAGCTTTAAAAGTAAAACTTCCAAAGGCAGACACAACACTGTTCATATCAGAAGGGGGAAGTGCAGCATCTGTAATACATCTGGGCAGTACGAACTGTGCTCTCAGGCAGCAGCTGACATGGCAGAATGAAGAGGATAACTGAATGGACGAGCAAAAGCCCATGAGAAGGTTGAACAGTACCTTTCATATAGAGTCATTTATTTACAGTGTGTTCTCATGGATTCCACTTGTTCAGTGCTGTGTCTGTTAAATACAGCTGGTTGCAAAATATGAGTGAAAATGAAATTTGGATGAAGAATGGAAACAAATTTTCCTGAATTTTTTTCTTCATTTTCCAACTATTTACTTTTACATTTTCACTTCAAATCCAAACTGTACAGAAATCTAGAACAGGGGCGAAAGGGTTCAAATAGCCAAGACAGATTATTCTTTTGTGCTTGCATCTTTCATCAGAAGATCTCAGAATGTCTCTCAAAAATTGTTTCCTCATATTCCAGAGAGGCAAGTAAAAGGTACATAATGGATCACTTCATCAACCACTGAAATCTCAGACACCTCTGCTATAGAACAATAGTTGCTCTTTAACAACATACAGCAACACCATCCAACACACTAGGACACGGGCTAAAGAATGCTGCCTACCTGAAGATGCAAATTAGATCAATTTCATTCTGCCTAGCTCTACTCTTAAAATAGAATTTAACCAAGATGTTCAGGTTACCACACACCATTTCTTTTATTTATTTATTTATTTTTGCAAAGTGTTACATGATCTAGTAACATTTTGCATCTCATTTGAAAGATTGTTCTTCTAGCAGCACTGTTCCCCATTATTCAGTGGTGAGTCAGCACTGACTCAGAATGAAGAGTGACCTCTCAGAACCATCAGCACCTCTTCTGGCAGAACCTAATTGTTCCTTGGATATCTCCCATCTAATACTGACCTGTATGCATGTTGCTTAGCTAGTGAGGTTAGGCAGGGTAGTAGTACTAACTAGTAATGTGAATCACTTATGTTGTTCACATTTCTAATAATATAAAAATTAATTGCCATTTTCAACCTGTACCCACCGCTCCATAATGTGCATTTATGAATAAAGAAATTGTAAAGCCCAAGTTTCTTCTTCATATTTTCCAATTACTCGTTTTAATATTATACAGTAAATGTCGACTGTGCTTTGTGGCAAGTTTGGAATCTACATGCATCTACTTGCCTGACCTCATTATCATGATAGGGCCCACTAAGCATCATCTGTTCGGCCTAGTCCCCCACAGAAAGGACTTCTTAAAAATTAAATAAAATCAAGAGCTTATTGTAGAACTAAGCTGAAAATGCAGCAGCATGTGATACCACCCTTGACCATCTATTTTCATCACAGGCCATCTGCTGCTCATTTGTGATGAATGGCGAAGAACTCAGTGCTGCTTCTGAGTGTTACTGGCCAACTCCCTGTGAAACAACCCTCTGGAATCCTAATTTCTCTTTCTTTCCCCTGACTTTATCCTCCTCTAGGTTATTTATTTTTCACATTTGCAGGAGGTGTGGACTTTAATCCCTGGTGATTGCAGTTTGTTGTGTGTGTGCATGTTGGGGAAGTGGGGGAAGGGGAGTTCCTATCTTTTACATATAAATGCTTCTGTTCTTTATGTGTGACATTTTCCTGTGTACTTCAAAGAATTATTAATACAGGGCCAAGTTTTCACCCAGCCTAACCTCATCTTGCAATTCTGTTCAATTGATTGCTCCTGTGGAAATGGATATGCACCTCTGAAGCATGTGAAACCCCCATTTGTGTCTGCAAAGTGGGTAGTTGGGCAAACAACTCCCTACTTTGTTCATAGAAATTAGTGCACATGCAAACTTTCGTGAGTTTGTAAAGCAAAAGGCTTTGCTGAAAAATTGACCTCCGAATGTCTAGGAAAAGTCTGTTGTAACTCTGGGAAGCACATACACACTAAAACACCAGTGTGCTGATATTCGCAGCAATTTGCATTTCACTGCTCATTCCCCTGCAGTACAGTGCATGTGCGTACCATACTATTTAGGACTAACTGGGAGGGAAATCTTGTAGAGAGACTCAAATCACAAAATAATTGAGATAATTAAATCAGATAATGGATCCACAAAATAGGAATGGTAACAGTAACGCTTAATGGCAATGACTACATAAGCATTGTTTTACTTGCTCTTCAGTTCCACTAAACTGTTTCCTGTAAGACAGCCAAAATAGTGAAAATGTATTGGGGGAAGTGGGATTTTTGTTTACTCATTGCAGGCACAGATCATTTGGAGGATATTCTCTGAAGCAAAGAGCTATAGGCTTCATAAGCTCCCTCTTCATTCTCCTGCAGTCCTTTAAGACACACATGCTTCACCTTCTTGCTGCACTGCATTTTATCTCCATACTCATACTTTCACGTTTTTGTTTCTCTCTTCCATGTGGTTGCAGCAGTAATCAATGCTGATTAACTCCATGTCATCTCAGGGAGTTGTTTTCTTAAGTACCTATCACCACGATTGCTTTTAAAGAAAGGAGTGTGTTGGGTTGCCTTGGCCCCTTTGGGATCGGTGAGGTGCTTTTGTATTTCAACCCTCTATCATTTCCAACAAGAGTGATTGGTGACCATGCTAACACAGTTAAAACTCAGGATTTTATGAAGTTCTTTTTGTAAAATAGAGGCTTAGTAGATTTCAATGCCAATGTCAGATTTGGATACAAGAATTTTTGATAACATGATAAATTTAGTATTTTGAGTTTAGCTTATTGGGATTCACTTTTATTATTAACCAGGGAGATCACACGGCCTATTCTTGAGGATTATGGGAACCTTTTAAAATGTCTACTTAGAAACTTTTTTATGAAAAAATATTTTAAAAGCTTATTTAAGTTTTATATTCCTAAATCAATCTTGCAATTTTTTGTGTTTTATTTTACAGTTAATCTCATCCATAGTGTTTTATATGGGATGCCTCTCTGTATATGGCATTAAAAAAATAGACCCTAGTATTCTGAGGTAGTGAAAAAGGTGTTTTGTTTAATCTCTTGGGACCTCTCCTTTTATTTCTTGAGTGGCATCAGAAGAGGCAAAAAACCTTATGCTTTGTATATAGAATTTTCTTTTTTCAAAGTATATCACAAATATATACTAATCCTTGCAAAACCTGTGTGAGGTAGATAATAAAGCATTATTATCCCCAAATTACAAATGGTAAAACTGATACAGAAGTTATTTTAAGGCCTTGTCTAAAAAAGTGACACAGTTGGTTAATGACAGAGCCAGGTCTAGAATTTAAGAGTTTCTTGCTTTTACCCCCATGCTTTACAAACAGATCTACTTATCCATGAGAGAACATGGTCTAGTGATCTGACATTGCAGACCAAATTCTATCTTAAGATAAGTGACTATATTGGGAGTTGTCCAAAAAAAAGGAAAACCCAACTAGTTTTGGTAGAAATTTGATTAGTCAGGAAGATGAATTTGTTTCCTAAAAAAGCCATTTGCTGAATTTTAGTGGCTTTCAAAAGAAAATCTGTTTCAAATATAGTTTTATATATTTGTACAAAAAGAAGTTATAACATTTAATGTTATTCCTGCGTTACAATCTTATATTTAATGTTTATGTTACTCTGTTTGTTTTTAGACGCTTGGAACAGAATTCCATCAAAACAGTTCCCCCTGGAGCTTTTTCCCAGTACAAGAAACTTAAGAGAATGTAAGTTTAAAAATAAGACTAAAATGGAAGATTATACTTGTAGCTTGTACTATTTTGAATTTTATCTTCTTTATTTTTCAAATGTTGAAACTACTGAGGATTGTATAGATAAACTCTTTTTCAAAGTATAAAGCAGCATGGAATTGGCCCAGGATGCTTAACAGTGCACGAAATCCTTAATAACATGCAGATTCACTTCTCTATTGTGTAACATATGAGGTAATTAATTGATGCCCCCTTTATTTCTTTCTACACATTGAATTCCTTTCCACAGAGAAGATTTTGAGTTATACTTATTTTCTCTTCTGCATTCAGATGTCTATTTGTAGGGTGACCAGACGTCCCGTTTTTAAAGGGACAGTCCTGTTTTTAAGCCCTCCTGCAGGTGTCCCAACTTTTTTTTAAAAACGGGCAAATTGTCCCATATTTTCTGTCTCCCCCCATCAGTACTGGCAGGTCCTGCTGCTGGCCGGATCCCTGCTCGCCAGCCGCCCACCCACCAGCGGTGAGTGTGGGGTCCAGTAGCTGATGATGGGGATGGGTGTGCAAGGCTGGAGGTGGGGCAAAGCTGCAGCACATGGGGCTGGCTGATCCTCCTGCTGGTCCATCAGCGCAGCCCCCTGCTGCGTACCGGCTCTTGGCCAGCAGGGCCCCACTCTCCGTCCTGTTTCCAGCCAGCACTGGCTGCGCGCTGCGAGCTGCGGTGGCTGGTGAGTGCAGGCAGGCGTCAGGCTGAGGCTGGTTATGTGTCGCCTCTGCTGCCCACCCATCAGCCCTTTACGTGCTCCCCCTCTCGCTGTCCTCTCCCTGCTTTGCCCCTTCACCCTCCCACAGCCCCGCTGCTCCTCCATATCTCCCCGGCAGGGCACGTCCTATTCCCAGCGCTGTGCAGAGAACCAGCCCCTGACTGGGGTGTTCAGCTCACCAACAGCCTGGCCAGCAGGCTCCTTCCTTCCCCTATTATCTCTGGCTGGGTCGGCGCCCCGGGAAAGCCCAAGACCCTCCGGCCCAGGCACTGACCAGGAGGAGCTGAGCCCTGTGTGTGCCAGAGCCACACACAGCGCTGGCACGGGGAAGCCTCTCTGCCCCTCAGCTGAGCTCTGGAGGGGGGGAGTGATTTCCAGCCTGTTCGCGCCCCAACCCTGCAGGCTCCACAGCAGCCCCCCAGGCAAGGGCTTAGCACACTCTTCATCTGCCCCCCGCCACCCTGGGTCCTGCCCCCAGGGAGTGTGGGGCTGCTCCATCTCCTAGGCACCCTCCCCTGCTGAGCCACCTCTCTGGCCAGGTTCACTGAAGCCCCTGCAGTCAGGTTCCCTGGGCCCTGGTGCACAATGCATCCTTAGGCCTTAACCCCTTCCTGCCCAAGCTGTAGCTGGGGGACAGGAAGCGGCTGGGTTATGTCAGTGGCCAGCAGCAGCCTGGAGGTGTTAGCTGCCTTTCGACATTGTGTGGGCAGGAAGGGACAAGCTGCTTCCAATCACAGTGACGGGAGGTTAGGGGGAAAGAGATGAGCTCTGCAAAGACACAGGCCAGATCATCCATCCCCCACCTTCCCCTGTGGCTGGAAGCAGCTCCTGTCCCTTCCTTCCGACACAGTGCCAAAAGGCTGCCGCTGGCTACATTCTGGTGCGAGCCTGGCAGAAATCTGGAGGGGGGCATGTGACCCTTCATGCCCCCTCCCCACATGTTGCCTTGGGAAGATGCGGAGCCAGGTACTAAGAGAGGTGGGTCCATCCCGGGGGCCTAGCCAGGCATGGAGGGTGGAGAGCGCCGGGCAAGGAAGGTTGGGTTGGTCGGTCACCCCCCCGTGTGAGAGAGGTGTACGGGAGTGTGGGTGTGTCACCTCTCCCCATGTGTGTGCGGGGTGTGTATATGACCCCTCCCCGTGTGAACCCTGAAGCCTTAAAGATAAGGTAAATAAAAAGAATCCAACTACATAGTATTTCTTTTTAACAGAGGCTCAGTCAACCAGGTGTTAATTTGAGTGTTTGTAGTGCATGGTGCTAGTTCTAGTCGATTGCCGCTGAACTCGCTTGCATACGAGTAATTTTACCACGTGTCTCGTATTCAGCATAGGGAAATATGGTCACCCTATCTATATGCATCACTTTAATTTAGTTGCCACTGATTAGGCGGGAGAGATGGTTCTTACAAGAGGCGTTTGAATGTTTGTAACAATATATTGTATGCCCTTGTTTTCTTAAGTACCCAAATTAGGTTTGGTTTCAAAACAAATATAGTAGGCTATTTTTTTTCAGTCACCTGTATAAATCTAAAAGAAGCCTAATCTATTATGTTCAATATAGCTACCCTGGATTTACATCAATAGTAAAATAACAGAATTTGGAGATATATATATTTTTCACCAGAAGTGAAGTTGAGGCTCATATGAGAGATGCTGGACTGACACAGCACTGAAAATTGTTGTCTGATTCTGGCAGTAGTACTACAACCCAAAATCATGGTAAAACAAGCTTCTCCTAAACTGCCTTGCCATCCCATCAATGTGCCTCAACACTCCTCTGCACCAGACACCTCGGGGGATGAGGACTAATTCAGTCTCCATGGCCCCTTGCTGAGGCTGCTCATGAAGGCACCATGGACAGTGGAGTTTTTTATGTGAACAACTGCTCGATACGAGTAAGATTGATCCTGTCAAATTGTTTCACATAAGAACTGAAATACCAAATAGTTAATGCTCTTTGAATGATCCTATGTTGAACAGTGGCTGTTGGGTGAAGTTACTGCACCACCAATCCAGAGTCATCAAGTTCCCAGAGTCGAGGAATTGTAAATTCGGATCCCAATATTTAAAAGATCAAGTCATCAATCTCATAGTTTCTCTGTTCTTCTCTCTCACTTTCAGTATAGCTGTATGTATTTTTAAAGCTCTACTGTATTAGCGCACAAGTCAGTAATTTTTGTGAAAAATGACAGTCATTATTTGTTACTATTTTGTTACTATTTTTTTTCTGAGGTATTAGTAATATTAAAACTTGATGATCCTTTATTGTTATTTCTGTTTTCATGATTGGTGCCTTCCAACTGTCAAGATATAGAAAATGATGCTTTTTTTCCTAATCATTCAGGACCCAGTGTGATGCTTATTATGAAAAGGATAACGCTAAAGATTTTGTGTGCAAGAATTCCATTAGCAAGTTACATTAATAGGCTTTTGAAGCACTGTTGGCATAGGCTTTGAGATTATTCTTGAAAATACTGTTAAGAAGTATTATTTAGTCCTGAGTGGAGCACAGGATCTGGTCCAAGAGATAACTATAACTGGACCACTAGGAAATAGTGACCATAATATAATAACATTTAACATTCCTTGGTGGGAAGAACACCTCAACAGCCCAACACTGTGGCATTTAATTTCAGAAAGGGGAAACTATGCAAAAATGAGGAGGTTCGTTAAACAGACATTAAAAGGTACAGTGACTAGAGTGAAATCCCTGCAAGCTGTATGGACACTTTTCAAAGTCACCATAATAGAGGCCCAACTTAAATGTGTACCCCAAATTAAAAAACACAGTAAACGAACTAAAAAAGAGCCATGTAAAAGAAGCAGTGGGAGATGAAAAGGCATCTTTTAAAAAGTGGAAGTCAGATCCTAGTGAGGTAAATAGAAAGGAGCATAAACACTGCCAAATGAAATGTAAAAATTTAATAAGAAACGCCAAAAAGGAGTTTGAAGAACAGCTAGCCAAAATCTCAAAAGGTAATAACAAAATGTTTTTTAAGTACATCAGAAGCAGGAAGCCTGCTAAACAACCAGTGGGGCCCCTGGATGATCGAGATACAAAAGGAGCACTTAAAGACGATAAAGTCATTGAGGAGAAACTAAATGAATTCTTTGCTTCAGTCTTCACGGCTGAGCATGTTAGGGAGACTCCCAAACTTGAGACGTTCTTTGTAGGTGACAAATCTGAGGAATTGTCACAGATTGAAGTGTCACTAGAGGAGGTTTGGGAATTAATTGATAAACTTAACAGTAACAAGCCACCGGGACCAGATGGCATTCACCCAAGAGTTCTGAAAGAACTCAAATGTGAAATTTCGGAACTATTAACTATGGTTTGTAACCTGTCCATTAAATCAGCTTCTGTACCCAATGACTGGAAGATAGCTAATGTAACGCCAATATTTAAAAGGCGCTCTAGAGGTGATCCCGGCAATTACAGATGGTAAGTCTAACATCAATACCGGGCAAATTAACTGAAACAATAGTAAAGAATAAAATTGTCAGACACATAGAAGAACATAAATTGTTGGGCAAAAGTCAACATGGTTTCTGTAAAGGGAAAACATGTCTTATGTTATGTCTATTAGAGTTATTTGAAGGGGTCAACAAACATGTGGACATGTGTACTTAGCTTTCCAGAAAGCCTTTGACAAGGTCCCAGAGGCTCTTACGTAAATTAAGTTGTCATGGGATAAGAGGGAAGATCCTTTCATGGATTGAGAACTGGTTAAAAGACAGGGAACAAAGGGTAGGAATAAACGGTAAATTTTCAGAATAGAGAGGGGTATCTGGTGTTCCCCAAGGGTCAGACCTACGACCAATCCTATTCAACTTATTCATAAATGATCTGGAGAAAGGGGTAAAGAGTGAGGTGGCAAAGTTTGCAGATGATACTAAACTGCTCAAGATAGTTAAGACCAAAGCAGACTGTGAAGAACTTCAAAAAGATCTCACAAAACTAAGTGATTGGGCAACAAAATGGCAAATGAAATTTAATGTGGATAAATGTAAAGTAATGCACATTGGAAAAAATAACCCCAACTGTACATACAATATGATGGGGGCTAATTTAGCTACAACTAATCAGGAAAGAGATCTAGGAGTCATCTTGGATAGTTCTCTGAAGATGTCCATGCAGTGTGCAGCGGCAGTCAAAAAAGCAAACAGGATGTTAGGAATCATTAAAAAAAGGATAGAGAATAAGACGGAGAATATCTTATTGCCCTTATATAAATCCATGGTATGCCCACATCTT